CTCCGAGTCCCCTGTCCTCCTGGCTTCTTTTCATCTTTACAGTTAATCCTTTCTGGGCCAGTCTTTTCTGAGCAAAGACTCTGACCTGCCAAAAGTCAGCCTTGGGGGGCTGGGGGTGCGGCTCCGCGGAGCACACTCACCTGGCAGGCACAGGGCCCTGGGCTCCTCCCCAGCTCCAAAATAAAAATGAAAAAGAAAAAGAAACAAAACCTAGCCTTCAGGGAGCACTTCCTGGGCGCCAGCTGCCTCCCGTGTAGTTAGTTCGTTTCATCTGCAGTCGGCCACCTCTCCCTACCCCACGCCACCTCGCATCTGGACCACTGTGTGGCGGTCAGGTGTGTGCGTGCGTGTGCGATGGGCTAACTTCAGTCTCCAGCACTAGATTCCAGACCCCTTGGGAGCAGAGACCACGTCCATTCCGTTCACCGTGGTCTCCCCAGTACCTGGCCTACGGAATGCCTGGTCCATAGCAAATGCCTGTCAGATGCAAGGATGCACATATCGTCACCCAGGAGCATTCGAGGTCAGGGTTCAGGCTCAAATGCACAGTGTTCTGTAATATACCGGAAAAGTCCCTGCAGGGAGGCCGTGTTCAAGAGCCCCGTCTCGGGGACAGGACTGAACCTACCATGCTGGATCTACTGCTGACCCCCCTGGCAGCCACTGCCCTCCACTGCTGAGCTGAGTCATGAGGGAGAAGAAATGACAAAGGTGTCACCCGGGGAAAAGACAGTTGCAACCATCATCAGACTCTTTCTGAGGGCTTCCTTGGCTTTGGGAACAGTGCTAGATGCTGGGGCCATGACAGAAAGAAGCCTCCCTCTTGGAAGCCAAAGACAGGAAGGAAAGCCTTACAATGAATTCAGAATCATAATCATGATTCAGCAGCACCTGGAAAGTGCTAATAAGGTGACATGACAGCATGTGGCCATTTCTGGCAGAACTTGGGGGAGGGGTTTGAGAAATCTTCCTGGATGGAGTCAAATTTAAATTGAAACTTGAACTGTCAATCAAAGTCGGCAAGGGGAAGACGGAGAAGAAGAGTGCGCCAAGAAAAGCAGAAAGCGTGTGCAAAGGCCCTGAGGCTCGGAAGTCATTAAGGCCAGAGAACAGCTCAGGACCAGAAAGGAGAGGTGTACCAGGCTGTGTGAGCTGCTAGGGATCTTGGTCCTTCTTTTGAGGACACCGGGATGCCCTGAAGGGACAACAAGACCAAGTGAGGGGCCACCCAGGAGCTGTGGGAGGAGACTGTGGACAGGCTCTCTCTTCTCTCCCCCTTCCCATGTGTTCCCCTGTCCCCAGGGAGAACTGTCTTAGACAGAGGCTTCGGGAAGCAGCCCTGCACTTGGCTTCTTTCCCTTCCCAAGGCTCTGCTCTCAGCCTCCCCTGGGTGTCAGTGCCTCCTGCCACTTGCTCCCAGGTTTCCTGATAGAGCCTGCTGTTCCTCCTCCCCTGGTGGCCAAGCGGCCCTCTGCTGCAACCTCAGGTTTTCCTGGGCTTAAAGGGGCTATGTCAGCCCACCCCACACCCTCCCAGGAGGTTGGTTGATCTGATTGCACAAACCTCCAACCCAGCGAGCGCTGCCTCCGTCCTCCCCAGGTCCCCTCCTCTGCTGCCGCCTTCACGTCCCCTTCCCTTTTCTTCTTCTTCTTCCTTCTGAGCAGCAGCGGGATGGGCAGAGCCAGGCAGGCAGGTGAGCACGGGTTCTGGCACCTTGACTGGGTCATCTTGAGCTGGCCCTTCATCCTCGCTGGGCCTTAAGTTTCCCTCTTCCTCAGCCTGAGTTAGACCTGAGTTCAAATCCCACTTTTGCTTTCTTGCTGTGTGACTTGGGGTAAGTCACACAACCTCTCTGCACATCCACCTAAGAAACAGAGGTCATATTTACACCTCCGTCTTGAGATCCCATCCATGCTGTCCTCTCTGTGTCTCTCAATTTCTCTTTGGCCTGGGTGGGGCTGAGAGTCCATGACCATGGCCGTGGTTTTCTGTGGCGGGAGGGGAGGGGAGGACTGAGGTGTCTCTCAGCCCTAGCTGCTCCTGCCTGCTGGGCAGAGGAGCTGGGAACCCTAAGGATCTTCCCATCAGATTAAAGATGGATTTCCGGTGGTGAAGCCCCGGGATCAGTTGGTTTTCTAAAAGTTTCCTGGTGCTTCAAATGGGCACCCAGATTAACAGCCACGGGCTCCAACCGTCAGCCTCTGCGGAAGGTAGACTTGAGTTTGGATCCTGCCTCCTTGGTTAAGTGGCATAACGTCTCAGACCACCAGCTTGTCCTAAAAATGAGCCAAACCAGGGGACCTGCCTCACAGGAAGCAGAGGGGCCCTCAACAGCAGCAGCCTGTTCTAGGAGGAGCAGGCAGTGAGAGGGCCCTGGACACCTCCAAAGTCACGGGGGCCCCGTGCCCAGCAGCCCAGCGTCTCAGGTGGAAGCCCACTCAACTGGTGGGGCAATGAGGCCTAGGGAAAGGAAGGTGCTGCCCGAGGTCACGCGGCCTGATGGAGTTTGTAGACAGGTCAAGGGGGCGCCTCTAGGTTTCAGGCACTGTTCCAGGTTCTGGTGGTACCCAGAGCACAGAGCAGAAAAGACCCTGCCCTCACCAAGCTTCCAGTCTAGCTGGGGAAGAAAAACAAAGAAGGTAATAAACAAATCCTATGGTACATCAGTAAATACTGTGGGGAAAGATAAATGTGGACCAGGGAGCGGGGCAAGTGGTGCGGGGGCAGGCAGACTGTGGGTTTTAAATGGAGACGGTCTGGGTACCAGTGCCACTGTGGGAGACGAAGACAGCACATGGCACAGGCCTTGTGTGTCGATGGTGATGATCTGGAGGCAGCTGTGCAACATCTAGGGGTCATCCCCCTGCGGGCTGACATCTGGAGAGGCAGAGGGGTGGGAAAGGGGTCAGGAATATGTTTGGGGGGCTCAGCAGGACATATATGGCATCCAGGGAGGAGGGACACGGTTGGGGATGGACCTTTGGGGAGAACCTCACAATAGGATGGGGGTGCAGTATGAAGTCACTTTGGCCACTTTGTGTCAGCTTGTCTCTACAGCTCAGGTGACCGCCGACACTAGTCCAGCTTTGCAGAATCAGTCTTCTTTCAGTTTTTCAGAGGTATTAACTCATTTAAACCTTAAGCAACGCTTAAGTAAGAGGTAATTCTTATCTCTGACAGACAAGGAAGCTGAGGCACAGAGAGTTGCAGTCAGTTGCCCAGGGTCACACAGCTAGAGAGGGCAGAGGCAGTGCTTGGAGCCTGTGCTCCTCTCTCTGTTGCTTCTGCTCATGGAAGACTTGAGCAGCCCCCAACTAACCTCACTGTCCCGTTCCTGGTGGCCCCTAGCTCATGCACTCTGTCCATGCAGGGCTGTGTCTGCTGACGTCTCTGTGGACACGTTGCTGTCCTGCTCAGATGGTCCTCCACGGTCTCAGTTTCACTGGTGCCCACAGCCGCACACTCTCAGCCTCCAACCTCACATTGCTTTGTGCTGTGACCCTCAGATGGCCTTGCACACTCAGAACCTCATACATGTCCTTAACGTCACCTCCATAGGACCCCACTGTGAACACACTGCTCCACACACATGATCTTATAAAGTAGAAAACACTAACACGCGGTCCCACAAAAGTACTTTTTTTTTTTTTTTTTGATACTGGGGATTTAACCTAGGGGCATTTACCACTGAGCCATGTCCCCAGCCCCCTCCCCTGCTGCTTTCTATTTTTGGTTTCTGAGACAGGGTCTAAATTGCTGAGGGTCTTGCTAAGTTGCTGAAGCTGGTCTTGAATTTACAAACCTCCTGCCTCAGCCTCCCAAGTCACTGGGATTACTGGTGTATGCCAGGGCATCCAAATCCACAAAAGTCTCTTGCACACTTAATCTTGCACAAATGCATATTCAAAATATTATACTTTCTAACATTCATACTACTAAACTGTCCTATTTTTCATGACCTTGAATATGCACATGACCTTAGATGCTAGGTTGGCTGTGCATGTGCATTTACCTTGTTACCAAGAAGACTTGATTAGTCACCCCAACTTGGCGCTTTTATTAATTTTTTTTTTGTACCAGGGATTGAACTCAGGGGCACTCAACCACTGAGCCACATCCCCAGCCCAATTTTGTATTTTTATTAGAGACAGGATCTCACTGAGTTGCTTAGCACCTTGCTCTTGCTGGGGCTGGCTTTGAACTCATGTTCCTCCGGCCTCAGCCTCCTGAGCCACTGGGATTACAGGCGTGAGCCACAGTGCCTGGCCTCAACTCAGTGCTTTTTGACCTCCAATGGTCTTGCCCTCTCATTTGACTCTGCCTTTCCTTGCTTGAAGACCTCCCATGCTCTCCTAGCCTTATGTCATATCCCATCGTCTCACTCACATGATCTCACTCTGTGTGCACACTGCCTTGCACACTCCCACAAATGCAGTCATGCTACCACACAAATCCACTGTTCTGCACATCAGTGCTCTTGCACATTCTCCAGTGTGTGATCAAAAATTTGTGCACACTCATTCAAATTCACATCATCAGAGCCTCACCTGCCTGCTTAAACGTCCCACACACCTCCCCCTGTCTTGGAAACTTGTGACCTTAGCATGTTCCCGCCAATGGAAATATTCACATCACCCTGCAAATTCCTTCTGGCTTGTTCCCTCTGCGTGAATGCACACTCCTAGAATCTCACCCACTCTCAGGGCCTCAATTGCACACACAACTTAACACAATGACACCCTGACCCACACAACTTGCCCGTCTTGCACGTCTGTGAACTTGCCATGCTCCCGCCATCAGAAATACACCATTGGGCAGACCCTCTTGCTGGCCCACTTACAACCTCACATTCAGTAACTTGCACTGATTGCCCCTCAGATGGCCAAGCTCCCCATTCAGAGCCACCCGCCTTGCCCAGTCCTGGTCCTTGCACACCCAGACACTGTGCACGCGCGGGGCGCGTTGTGTCACCTACTGATGTGAGCTCTCCTCGCCCACAGGGACTTACCAAGGCCAGTTTACCAACGGCATGCGCCATGGCTATGGGGTGCGCCAGAGCGTGCCCTACGGGATGGCCGTGGTGGTGCGCTCGCCGCTGCGCACGTCGCTGTCATCTCTGCGCAGCGAGCACAGCAATGGCACAGTGGCCCCGGACTCGCCCACCTCACCAGCCTCCGATGGCCCGACGCTGCCCTCGCCGGCCATCCCCCGCGGTGGCTTCGCGCTCAGCCTGCTGGCCAGTGGCGAGGCGGCGCGCGCGCCCCGTGGTGGCCTCTTCCAGCGGGGCGCCCTCCTGGGCAAGCTGCGGCGCACTGAGTCACGCACGTCCCTGGGCAGCCAGCGCAGTCGCGTCAGCTTCCTGAAGAGCGACCTGAGCTCCGGGGCCAGCGACGCAGCCTCCACCGCCAGCCTGGGCGAGGGCGCCGAGGGCACCGACGACGCCGCGCCTTTTGAGGCGGACATCGACGCCACCACCACCGAGACGTACATGGGCGAGTGGAAGAATGACAAGCGCTCGGGCTTCGGCGTGAGCGAGCGCTCCAGTGGCCTGCGCTACGAGGGCGAGTGGCTGGACAACCTGCGCCACGGCTACGGCTGCACCACGCTGCCCGACGGCCACCGCGAGGAGGGCAAGTACCGCCACAACGTGCTGGTCAAGGGCACCAAGCGCCGCGTGCTGCCGCTCAAGAGCAACAAGGTCCGCCAGAAGGTGGAGCACAGTGTGGAGGGTGCCCAGCGCGCCGCCGCCATCGCGCGCCAGAAGGCCGAGATCGCCGCCTCCAGGTAGGCCTGGCTGGGGCCACATGGGACGGGCCTGTTGGGATGGGTCCTGGAGCAGGCCAGCCTAGCAGGCAGTCTCCAAGCCTGTTTCTGCTTCTTTACCATAAGGGGTTCCTTCATGACCTTTATGAGGTTAATTGAAGGGGTTCTAGTAGCTGATGTCACCTGCTATCGGTCTTCTGTCCCATCAACCATCTATCCATCCTGTCCAGCCCACCCATACTCTCATATATCCCCCAAGCTTCTGCAATCACCCACACCCTGGCTGGTTTAACTCTTACATTCACCCAACCTTTCTAATACCCACCATATCCCCACTCAACCATCATGTACCCATGCTGACAGTCAACCATCCGGACATTCATTCAAGCCCTTCATTCATTGTACCTTCTTTAACACCCACCTGAGCAACCCCTCTGTCTATCTAACCCTTCCATCCACCCAACTATCTCCAGCCACTCGACCTCTCTAACCTTCACCTGAACCACCACCAGGCAACCCTTTCCTCATCCACCCTCCCCCATCCATCCAACTGTCTATCCTTTTACTCATCCAACAATTCAATTCTCCACCCATTTATCCACCCAACCACCCATGCAACTGCCCAGACCTCCGTGCAGCCCTGTATCTGTCCCTCACCCACCTGTCACCCACATTCACTCAGTTGCTCTGAGCCACGCAGCCTAACATCCAACCACGGATTGATTCACCCAACCACCTGCAGTCACCCAACTACTCCCATTCATCCCCATTGCACTTCCATCCACTGAAATAGCACCCCTCCTACCCCCTCACCCAGCCACCTTGCCATCAGCCAGTCACCCACCTCCTTCACCATGTTTCCATCCAACAATCCATTATACTTCCACCCACTCACCCATGTTCACCTGGCCGTCCACCCAACCACGCACCCACCCACCCTGTCTGCCATTCCTGAGCACCCACCCTATTTACATTCAAATTCCTCTACGTCTTCTCCTTCTACTTCAGATTATCTTTTAATACTGTCTCCAGACATTGATGGCATCTACTATGTGATGGCTATTTTAAGTGATTTACAAATATTGACTCCTTCAGTCCTCTTAACAACCTTATAAGAGAGATACCATTTTATTGCTACTTTACAGGTGAGCTCAGTGAGGTCAGAGAGCTAATTTAGAAGGTGACTTCTCCAAAATCACCCAGTTAGAGAGTGGCCTTCCGTCACCTGGCTCCACCCTCCTGTCCAGTGTCATTTTCTAGCATTCTCCTCCTGGGCCTGGGCTTTTTCCCCTTGTGTGGTCACTTGGGTCTTTTGCTAATTTTTTCCAGTCCCTCCTGCTGAAGGGCTGTGTTCATGCTGGTTTCTCTGCCTGGATTGCTCCTCTTTCCTCCTGCTGCCCACTTAGGTACTTTGGAGTGAGCTGCAGATAGTGAAGTCCAGTAGTTCTCAGTCCTGTCGTGGGCGAGTTCCTCTGGAAGTAGACTCTGAGATGAAGATTAGTGGGCACGATGTTCATGGGGAACATTCTCGGCACCAACACCTGAGGGGGAGGGAAGGAAGCAGAATAGGGTAGAGGGAGACCCTGGGCAGTCATGAGATCTCCACAAAGGCCTGTCCAACCACAGGGGGCGCTCTGCAGTGGAGATGACCTTCAAAGATGTCCCAAGTTGGGGTGACGGAGCTGGGGGGGTCACACCCTTAGCACTGATGCAGGTGATCCTCAAATAAAAAAGAGCAAGACTAGGTCTGGACAGCTTTCTTGAGCCAAGAGCGTATTAGCGAGGACGGACAGCTGACAGTTCTCTGAGAAGCTGGGGTGGGAGAAATCAATCTTTTTTTTTTTTTTTTGGTCCTGAGGATTGAACTCAGGGGCACCCAACCACTGAGCCATATCTCCAGCCCTATTTTGTATTTTATTTAGAAATAGTGTCTCACTGAGTTGCTAAGTGCCTTGCCATTGCTGAGGCTGGCTTTGAACTCGTGATCCTCCTGACTCAGCCTCCCGAGCTGCTGGGATTACAGGTGTGGCCACTGTGCCCATCTTCACCCTTCAGTCTTCAAGGGGAATCTGGATGGCACTTCAGAGTATCCACTATGGTGCTGGATCAAGCACCGTTCAGTTAGGATTTCTAGTCACCATCATCGTTCAGTGAATTTATTGACAGATAATGCTTATGACAGGTAGAAGCCAGGATTGTCCTGGACCCTGAGACATGGGAGAGAGGAACAGGAAAGAGTTTTGTCTCTGGATTCAGAAGAGCATGCTGACTCTTCTACTGACTAGCTGTGTGATCCTGCCCAGGTTGATTCACCACTCTGTTGCTGGGGTCCTCTTTCCCCATACGATAGTTAGGAGGAGGAAATGAGCTAATGCCTGTGACGTGCCCAGCGCTGAGCAGCCAGCAGTAAAGCAACCATTGTTAAGATCTCCTGTGTTTGATTTTAAGGCGAGGAAATAGAAAGCTGGAAAGAGGGAGGGATTCCCCTTCCTATTTCTACGGGGGCAACATCTTGCCCTCTCTGCCCCCTTACTTCCCCTGCCTTCCTTCTCCTTCCTGCCCATGCCTGCACCCTTGAATGTGGAGGTGTTGAGCTCTCCCTGCTCAGAAGGTCGCTGGGGCCACCAGAGCCTTTTGAGTGAGTGAACAGGCTCTTGCACTGGGAGCTGCTGTGAGCGGTGGGCAGGGGAGGTCTGCAGTCCTCCAGTGTGTGAGGAACCAGTCCCTATGCCCTGGGGCTGGTGTCCTGTGTGTGTGTGTGTGTGTGTGTGTGTGTGTTGGTGGCCCAGTTAAGGGAGTCTTTGGTGAAGAGGAAATGCAGGATTGTGCCTCTTCCCCTTCCCTGGGGCTTGGGTGAGTGACTTGGCCACAGAGGGACAGGAAACTCCCCAGCAGCCTCCTGGAGCCGGCTGGGCCTGGGATTCTCTCCATCCTGGCCTCAGGGCTTGGCCCTGGGCTTGTGTGTCCAGCTCAGTCTACAATCAGGACACTTTTCCCAGGAGAAGGGAGCAAACAGTCACATCTCATCCTTGAAATGGACCAGAGATGGAAAAAGATTCTAGACCTGCATCTTCCAGTGTCCCAGCCGCGGGCCACCTCTGTCTGTGGAGTACTCGAAATGTGGCTGGTTCCAGTTGAGACACTCTGAGTATGAGATGCACACTGGATTTCCAAGATTTAGTATGACAAGAAAGTAATTCTATGAATATGCTGAAATGATTATACTCTAGACATAGAATTAGAGAAGATACATTATTGAAATTAATCTCATCTGTTTCTTTTTACTTTTTTGAATGTGGTTACTAGAAAAACATTTTCATTACCCCCCGTGACTTACACTGCATTTTTATTGATCAGTGTTGCTCTAGATCCATTCAGGTCCTTGGAGATAGTCCAGCCCCGCCACCAACCAGGTGGGGAAACTGAGGCCCAGAAAGAGATGGAGACATAGCCACAGCTACTAGGTGGTGGAGGGAAACGGGATCCTTGCCTTCTGATTTTGCGAGGAAGAATTCTTTTGGTAATGCCTTTTAAGGTCCTGGGTGTCGGGTTGTGGAGTAAAGCTGGGACATTTGGAGAGGTGCCTGAACTGTTCTGGTTGTCACACTAACACCCTGCTAAATGACTTCTTTCTGGAAGGAGCAGAGTAGATGGCTAAGCCCAAGACTCTCAGTTTCCTCATTTCTAAAAGGAGCAAAATGGTAATGACCTTGAAGTGTCTTCAGGGCCAAAGCAGAGGCTGCATGGGAAGCTCTCTGTGCAGGGCCAGCAAGCAGGAAGCCCTCAATCAATGTCAAGGGCTATTGTCATTGGCTGGTATTCTTGTTGTGTCCCTCGTGGTGCTGGCGAGAGATATCCTTGGAGAGTTCTCAGCTACTCCAGGGTCTAATGTTAGGAATGTCTCAGGGTTTGTACCGGGTGACGTCACTGAACTGCTCCGTCTTCTGTCCCCACCATCCCTTCCTCTCCTATAACTCCTCCCCAGGCCGGCCCTGAGAACTCCCAAGTTGAGTGCAGAGCTAGAGTTGGCTTTGCAAGTTGCTGGGGACAGAAGTTTTCTTGTGTGTGGGAGGCCGGGTGGCAGAGTGGCCAAGAGTTTGGGATATGAATCTGGATTCAGCCTTTTGGAAGCTGTGTGAGGGACAGGAAACCTCCTCAGGCAGGTTTGCACCTCTCTGGGGCTTATTTTCCTCTTCAAAAAGGAGGTAGAGGCTGTTACTATGAATCAGGCCTCATTCTCCAAGGACCTTGGAGTCTCCCCCGAGATTGAAGCCACCTGGGGGACAGCCTCCTCCTTTTCTCTGAGTCCATACAATGTGTTTTCCAAACTTTTACCTCCTGCAAGCCATACTCCCAATTTTGGTTACATCCCACACCCCCTCCCCCCATTTACTTACCTCCTGAATCTTCATCTATTAATCAATTGACTTAAAATTACCTAAGTATGCTTATTGAACAGGAGGGCTTTCTAATCACCCTTGTAAATGGGAAACCAATATCCTGGGGAGTTCTGAAAACCGAACAACGTCATTCAAATCCAAGGCCATGCTGTGGATGGCTGATTGCACTGAGTCTCCTTGTGGTTTTGATTTGCATTCCCTAGTGACTCATGTTGACTTTCTTACCTTGAACTTACTGGCCATTCATCTATCTTCTTGGAGAAGTGTCTACTCAAACCTTCTGCCCATCTTAAAATTGGGTTATCTTTTTTGTTACCAAGTTGTAAGACTTCTTTATCAGTTACGAATACAAAGGCTCTTTATCAGCTATGTGATTTGCAATTATGTTTTCTCATTCTGTGGATTATCTTTGTACTTTCTTGATGGTGTCTTTTGAAGTACTAAAGTTTTTAGTTGATAAAGTCCAGTTTAACTTATATTTCTTCTGATACCTATGCTTTTGTTGTCATGTCTGAGAAAAATATTGTTTAATCCAAAATCTTCTTCTGTAAGTTTTTTCTAAGTATTTTATAGTTTTGGCTTCTATGTTGAACCCTGTGATTCGAGGTGATATCTGTATAT